AACACATTTAGGTCAGAGTCATCATATATTTCCTCAGCATTCGTTTCTTCGATATCATTACCAGTACTGATTGCTATTGAAGCACCTTCTTTAGCCTGTGTATCCATGTTACCTGATTTAATGTCCTTCAGCTCTTGAAATAACTCCTGAATTTTTGCCTCTATTGCTGAAACACGATTGTCAATATCTTCTTTTATTTTTCTTTGTTCACCAGTGATTATTTGTTGCTGTCCTTGTAGACGCTTAATGTCTTCCCGGACCGCTCGCTCAAAATTCTCTGTATCACTTACGAAGCGGATTATTTGTCCCACGGTAATTCCTTTTCTGGGACTCAGTTCGAATGCTTCCACGCAGAATTTCTTTTGTGGGCTTATACTTTTGCTTCTTGTAACCTTCATTTCATTAATTTTCCATCCTCTTTTTTGGTTTTTATCGCCCTTAATTTCTGTCTGTCAGTCCGAGTTGTAAAAAGTTTTTTTGAACTCGACCAACCTCCCTTTTTTTAGATTAGCCTAAAGCTTTCGTTAAAAAGCCAACTTTTCTTGCTAGCCAATTAAATTCAAATGCAGCAGCCACCACCACTCGCTGCTAACAGTAAAGACACGACACTCTTGTGTTCCTGGTGATCGTTTGTGGAGCGCTGGCTGGCAAAATGGCTTTTATTATACAGCGTTTAGGTACGATAAAGCGCAGTTGAACATACTTGAGTGCACAATCGAGTGTTGGCAGTAGGTTAGTCCGTAGACTTTATGAACTGGAACTCAAGTAGTTTAATCGAAGATGATTCGTTTGTCGGAACGGAGACTGTATCATTGAGCCGCCTGACGAGGACGAAGGAGTGGGACAATACGAAAAGCCGGACCCCGAATGAAGAAAAGTGGGGTTTATATAGATGTTTTATCCCGCCCAGGGAAGGATTTCGTATCAGCCTCCCCTTTGTACCAGCTGCCATCTGGCTTCAACAACAAAGCATTATTAGATGAGTTACAGTACTATGTCTAGACGCTTCACTCTTACAAAGGGTGATTAACGGGGATATAAAATAGACAAGAAAAGAGGGGACCATATGGTGGTAATTCAGATTATAAATTGAAAAATCGAAAAAGAAGTCGGAGATTAAAACCAAATATTTAAACTAATATTTAAAACTAATCTAATATTTAAATTTCATATCCACACATACATGCGAGGCAATGCTACAATTAGGGTGGGGAAAATTTCGCAAACAATGTACGTTCTACCAACTCTGAAAACTGCACACTAGCAAGTATACTCACAGCGGTGTGATGATCCGGTCTGAGCAATGTTACTTGGGATGCAATGAAATGCACTCTCGAAAAAATTGTATTTGATCTGAAAAATGATGGCCAGTTTGAAAATACATTCTTGCAGCTGGTTTAATAAATAGTGATGCGCATTAAGACAGCCGGCGCGTGTGTTTTATCAGTTCCGTCCACCGAACGATTACCTGCTGGTGATTTTGGCTGCTTTACATTTTGGTCTGTGCAAAAATACTTCAAAAGTTGCAGAATTTCCCACTAAAAATTTCACGCAACTGCAAGTGAAAGCTGACTTTGAAACCCTGAAGGGCGAATATCCTTTCAAAATTTCAACCTCCTGATTTTCTGCTCTCAAGTGGTTTTTGCGACAATACTTTCACATGGTCGTACGTGAGACTTCGGCATACCTAGGGATTAAATTCGAGTTTGTGAAGCCCCTGCTTAGGTAGGAAAAACCCTCCTGAAACTTTCAGCCTCACAGCTCTTCTGGCTCCCGTGATTTTTGCCACCAAAACTTTCAAGGGGGCGATAAGAATTTGCGGAGTCATACGTGAGCAGGGACCTCCTCAAAACATAAATGATCAGATGTCTTTCGTAATGATTTATTACCAGATTTATTACTTTTTGTTTTTTGAACTAAGGACGGTCCTATCTTTCGTTTGTGAGGATATCACTTAATTATTAATTTCTGTTAAAATTCCGTGAAGAGTCATTGTATCGTTATCATGCAATACCTCTGGCCCCCTATCTAATCCTTGGACACCATATTCCCTTTAGAGTTTTGCAACGTCTTTGATCTGTGGTCACTCGAGTATAAAAGCGCTCCTCCCCTCTCCAGCATCTAGTGCTTTTGTTCCTCAAACAAACCTGTTCCGGGGAGCTTCGGCTTCCACAGTCTCGCCATCTTTTCCCCTCCCCCCCTCCCCCCTCTCCTATTTCAGTTTATTTTGTACAACTATATTTTGTTGTACAAAATTATAAATAAGTAGGTGCTGGCTACAAATACACACAGAACCACATACATACATGTAGGGCACGCACACTAGTCTAATCCATAACCTTTTTTCCCGATAGCGCACACGCATCTCAACATACTCCATAGCTGAGTTATGTGAACATATATACAAACACACAAATAACATTGCCATCTGGAAATCGAAAATTCTCACTTACATTCAGAGGATTTTTTCAGCCTTCACTTTCGATAAAATTCGAAACATCTCATCGCTACTTCATCATATGGATAAATAAACAAGAATTTTTGAACACCTCCTAATTCTCCTCCTCCAAAAAATAAAAAAAAACCAACATCTCCCAATAAAACCAGACTTGTGTGCACTCAAAAAACAGCTCCGGAGATTACTATCTTCAGCGGCAAGGCATAAAACTTGAGCAAAGACTGGTTTTAAGCTCTTCGTAAAAAAGCTGTGCATGAAACCTTGAGATTACAGAACGATTTATCTAACAGCTATTCCACCAGAACTGATTCCATCACACCGATTTCGTTTTCAAGCCACTGCTCCTTGGACGAGCTGTTTGCCAGGCAAAAATCAATAGCGACAAAAATGCGAAAAGAGTTACTGGTGTTTCTGAAAAAAAAAATTTTTTTTTTCAAATTTCTGAATTATTTATGAAAAACGTACAGTACCAAACTGTTTCAGGGAAACCGACAATAAGACACTTCTAACAAATCAGCATTCAGTCGCCCAATCTGAGACAATGCTTCGGGTTTTTTTGTAAAAATCCGTAATCTCCTAGATTTTTTATTTCTGACTGGAGAAAATTTATCAAAGGGTAAAGTAAAATTCAGCATGCGCCGCGAGTCTGTACACGGTATGCAGGAATAATCAGTACCACCCAAGCTTGGCCGCATAAATATGGCACAGAGTCTTCTCGGAATACTTGAAGTTCGTCGTGCGTCGACATTGTCTAGTGCGTTTACACTTCTACGTCATAATGAAAGTGCTGGATGGGATTTTGCACGCGAATTTACCACAGCCATTAATTAACAATGACAAATTGCTTGCGAAATAAAACAAAACGTAAGAAACAAAAAATAATAAAACTAACTGAGTACCTGCATTGTTTTCATCATTCCTTCCTTTCGGCGGTGTCACATTTGGTATGTGTAGCATGAAATTAAACGGCCAAAAGTAGGAAGAATTGATATATGTGACGATAACACTACTTGAGTAAACCATAAGAGACAATGCGATTAACTGCACCAGTATTCCGGCAGCTATCAGAAACAGTGTTGACGTAACCGTTGCATCTTTCTGACGGCTGGAAACTGCAAACACCAATTACTCGATTGTAAATCTCACTGGATTTCTACGGCCATTGAAAAGACCCATCATTTCAGACTGCCGATATGTCGTGGCAACAAATCCGGAAAACAAATAAGTCACGCAGCTACCCAGTCATGAAATGGTACAAGCAATAAAGGCTTAAACAATGAGTGGTTTTATCTCACATTTGGGTAAACTAATTCTGAACTTAGATGGAGAAAGCGTCTGGAAAATTTATTCGTACTTCACCAATGAATTTAAATGATCTTATAAATAATCCCTATCCTAGCTTGCATATCCAACAAATTTCCTAAGTCCTACAGAAGCAAGAATGGACTGGCGTTCCAGCCCGAAAGTTCAGGAACCTAAGCTGGAACGCACTAGGCGGGCCAATGCGATCACGCGCTTTTGCACTTTTCGTGCTGTCGCAAAGTCGCAAGGAATCACAGCAGCTAGCCCTGTGACATACTGGCCCTCGAAGTTCGGGAGCTATGCGGTATCTCAGTTGTAGATATCGACTTCAGTGACCCGATAAATAGAAATTTGTTGGTCAGCGAAAAAGGCCCCATTAGAAGAGTTAAATTTGAAATCTTTTAGTCGCACATGAGTAAGGAACATTCTCTTAAAATTTCGCATACCCTTCATCTTAAGTTCAGTGCAATTTGGTGCTGACAATTTTTGCATGACATATTAACATTGGGAAAACGAAAGTAATAATAATTTTTGAATTCAGATTCGATGCGTAATTCTATTCTCTCAGCTATTACCTGCCAAATAACGCTACTTAGCAACAAACATCTCTTGGGGAAACTGTGCAAAAAACATATGGCGAGTCTAATGTACGCCATCACTGCTTTGTTCTAATTTTCATCGCTTTACCTTGTGTTACTTAATTTTTTTATCAGTTACATGAGAGCCAAGTGGCTATCCCCTCTCTGTGTCAGCAGATACCTCCGCACCAGATATTAGAAGCCTTAGGAAGCTTTAAATGATTAATTGCTGATAATCCTTTCAAAAATGTTCGCCATTTGTGCAGAGGATCATTGCCAAAAACTGAGTCGGAAACCGGCAAAAGTAGCAGCAAGAAGTAATAAATCTAGCAACTTTATTCAGAAAAAATAAAGGAAAAAAAAACAAGAACCATCATCCGAGTGAGCAAAGGGCAACTCAGCTTTGCAACCAGCTATTAAGGAGACGGTAGCAACTGCTCTGACTGTGCGAAGATGCGCAGCAGTGAAACAACCGCTGTTCAAAGAAAATACTAGCAACATGTCAATGTTTCTAAAAAACGCCCAATGTTCCACACTTACTGCGACACTTCATTCGTCCTGCTGCCCCCATCACACAGTGTGACCATCTAGGCCTGCACCCCCATTATTGTACTAACAGAATGCGCAATGGTTTGAAAAAAAAAAAAAAAAACCAGTTACAGGTTTTTTTAAAACGCAAATGCTTTTAAAAGGCAAATTCAGCAACTTTTTGAACGGCCCGGAGTGTCTGAATGTGGTACGTGAATATCTGTCTTCAAGCGACATCCGGACTGCCGCTGTTTAGCATTATGGCCAATGATTACTTCAGCAGTAAAATGCAATGCAAAGATTTCAAGTATTTGAGAATTCTCTAAGAATCCATCAAATCAAAGGTGATATGGAAATGTATGGTCTGCATGCTTCAGCAGCTAAGAAAATTTGCGAAAATACGCATGAAAGCTTACTCAAAGTTTTTAGTTCGTCTGTATGTTTGAGCAAAATTCGATCCTTCTTGAAATAAGCAGCAAAGTGATCAGTTGGAGAAAGTTTCTCCAATTCGAATTTTGTTTTCCTCAATTCCGATGTAAGTGCCTCAATGCGCGCATCCCGTTCCGTTTTTCGGCGAGGAAGGAACAGTTTCAGCTGAAAAGAAATCAGAGAATTAAAACAAAACTTCACATTCTCATTGCTGTATTCTACAGCCTCGAACTGGCAAAAACTAATCATTACAGAAAACCTGAAATAGCGTTTTTTCGATTTCTGACATATGTGAGCTATGTGCACAGCTAAGCACAAATTATATCAATTTTGTGCCCCTAAATTTTATCGTCGCCCCTTACATCCGTGCAGATCTGGATGCGCTTGCACCAAAACTCCGATGCTATTGGAGGTTCCTGTACGGCTGATCCCAAGTACACTCCTTCCAGTGGATGATGCTGCAGTGCAAAAATCCAACGTGCTATTGGTGATCATTGGCTCGGTGTTTTTTGGCTAAGTTCTTTTTCCACTGCATACTGATTTTCTCCTTCCATCTCCCCTATCATTCCATTTCTTCCATTTTGTACCTCCAATACAAAAATTGGCCAACGCATTTGAATCTGAAGGAGTCTGACTTTTTTGTCCCGACCCACATTAGTTTTCGATAATTGGCCAACGCACGACGACGAGAATATTTTGAACACTCAGTGGCTTACTAATTAAAAAAATTGGCCAACGCACGGGCTGCCAGTGCGGAGATGCGTTTTTGCATGGTTCCCCGCAGTTTTTGTTGCTACCGGCACCGGTTTTTTCGGCAAATGCTTCTAACTAAACAAATTAAAACTGGCCACCAGAATTGTCAGAAAACATTCCCTTTAAAATTTCAACTTTTTAGCTTCCCTGACAC